TCCTTGAACTTGCAGCATATATGGCGACAGAAGGGAATTTCCCTCCGTCTGAAAGGCCGTGTATACAAGGCCACAGTGAGGGCCATCCTGCTCTATGGGAGTGAGACTTGGCCCCTTCGGTCTGAAGATCTGAGGCGCCTTCAAGTCTTTGATCATCGTTGTCTGCGAAGCATTGCTGGAGTCGGATGGCACCAGCGTGTTCGCAACGATGATGTGCGTAGGCGAGTACTAGGTACTAATAATCATGCTACCTCCTTAGAACAACAGATAGCACTGAATAAGTTGCGTTGGCTCGGGCACGTGCTACGTATGCCTGGTCACCGCTTACCTAGGAGGGCCTTGTTTAGTCTGCCAGGTGTAGGGTGGCGCAAGGCTCGAGGTGGACAGAAGTTGACTTGGCAGCGGGAAATGAAGTCACTGACGACCAAACTGGGTGCCGTTGGTCCGTCTCGCCTTCCGGGCTGGAGTCCACGTGACTCGCCTTGTGCTTGGCTCGAGACTTTACAGGACATGGCTCGCAATCGACACCAGTGACACGTCTGCTGTCGTCTCCTAGTCGGATTGCCTGTTTAAGGTGTGTTTCATGATGAGCAACGAGACTGGACCTTAACGTGGTGCGACGGTTTGCGTACCTCATTGACACATTGAGCTATACTGGGTGATGCCTCCGAGCATCTTGAGAGCTACTCCTACCAGGTTGGTCAATGGTGAGAGGTCAGACAAACTCAGTCTCCTGATCCTCCAGGTTGGGGGTTTGAAATCGCGTGGCGTCCATTTCTGTAAAACTAAATCACTGCCACCACGCTGCCTTGCGAACAGGCTTTTGAGCCAAAGGCTTTGGATGAGGACCCTAATCGTCCTCCTGTCTAGGTCTGGGCGCCCTAGCAGTATCTCAGCCCACATACAACCATGACATTTTCTTCAAACACTAACTTCATCCTGCATCGGCAGTCGCGCAGATTATCAAGGATCGCCTTATCTGCTGCATACAGCAGGGCGGATAAGCGAAAGCATGCTACTGCTGGCGCCTCCCTTCTTTCTTTTCCACCTTTTTCTCTTACTCCCATCCCGGCCCCCATTACCAACCTTCCTTCTATAATTCCCAGCTTAATTGACAGCAACCGAAGTGCTACTGGAGTAGTACCATCTGCAGCCACCATCCCACAGCACCTACCGGACGCCTATCAGCAAAAGTCCCTTATAAGGCCACGCTGACCCGTTTCCATGGCGACATTCAACATCCGCACTCTAAGACAAACAGGTCAGCAGGCTGCACTCGCACGCACCTTGGACACACTGGGTGTTGATGTGTGTTGTGTGCCCGAAACTAGGATTAATGACCCTAACGGGGTTATTGAATTGACTGCACCCGGCTTATCCTCTCGTTATTGGTTGCACGCATTCGAAGACGCCGATGCGGCACTCACGGGTCAAGCTGGTGTAGGTATCATTCTCAGCTCCAAGGCTGAGTCATCGTTGGTTGATTGGATTCCAGTGAACAGCCGTTTATGTGCAGCCCGTTTGACGACATCAGCTAAGGTGAATTCGCGAAGTAAAACAAAACGCTGTTTGTTTGTGACTTCCGTTTATGCTCCCACCGACTGCAGTTCTAATGCAGTCAAGGACACTTTCTATCACGAACTGAACGCCCTACTACGCAGTGCTACTAGTTCAGATATTATAGTACTTACAGGGGATATGAACGCACAAGTAGGGCGTCTGAGCTCTTCAGAAGCTCAGCTGGGTGGTAAGTATGGACTTAACTCCGAACGGACTGACAACGGCGAGTGTCTGCTGCAACTGTGTGCGGAGCACCAGTTGTTTCTTACTAGCACTGCTTTTAGACATAGTGGGCGCTGAAGTGCCACTTGGCGTCCACCTGTAGCTGGCCAGCGATGGACCCAAATTGACCACATAGCCATAAGTTACAGGTGGCGCGGTTCCATTCTGGATTGCCGCTTGTACTGGAGTACCTGTGTCGACTCTGATCATGCCTTGGTGCGCTGTCGTTTCTCCATGAACTTTACCGGAAGGCGCACAAAGCGTCTCCCCCGATTGGCAACGGAGAAATTGTCTCAGTCCTCGGTAAGGCAAGCCTATCAAGAAGCACTGCATAACGAACTCTCGCTGTCTTGTCCTAATGACACCGAGCTTCAGTGGAATAGGATCTCGGCCGCTATGCACGACGCAGGAGCATCTGTTTGTGGCACTATCAATCGTCACCGCACCAGTCACTGGATATCCGAGAGGTCCGTGAACCTGTTGGAATCTAGAAGACACCTCCCGGCTGGTTCTGTACACAGTGTGACCAGACAGGCTATTAGGCGTGAACTAAAGCGGAGCCTACGTGCTGACAAGAAAGCCTGGTGGACCAGTCGGGCACAAGAAATGGAGGAGGCAGGAGCAGTAGGCAATTACCGGAAGCTCTTCCAGCTAATCCGCACCACTGGTCCCAGAAAACCAGGCGTCAGTGAGACAATCAGAGACAGCGCGGGTGCGCTGATACACAATAAGGAGCGCCGTATGGCTCGTTGGGCTGAACACTTTGAAGATCAGTTCAGCTGGAATCCTGCTCCCGGACCTCTTCCTACTCAGGTGATGCACGACGAGCCATGGACGGTTAGTTTAGAGCCTCCGTCGGAGGCCAAGGTCCGAAACGCGATCACAGCCCTCAATCGTTTTCGTGCTGCTGGCCCGGATTCCCTCCCACCTGCACTATTTAAGGATGGAGGTTAGGACCTCTGCAGGGCACTGACCTCCCTGTTCGAACGTATCTGGAACGAAGAGAGTGTGCCGGCTAATTGGAGCGAATCGATCATAGTGGCAATATACTAAAAGGGCAGTCGCACAGACTGTGCTAACCACAGGGGTATTAGCCTAACGCCAGTTGGGACAAAATTACTGGCCTCGATTATCGTTCGTCACCTCACTGCAAAACTGGAATCTCGGATAAGGGAAGAGCAGGCCAGTTTTCGCCCAGGACGTGGCTGTATAGACCATATATTCACTTTTCAGCAGGTGCTAGAGCAGCTCCACACATACCACAGACCGACAATAGCTGTGTTCCTCGATTTCAAGAGTGCGTTCGATTCAGTCGATCGATCGATTCTGTTCGAATTACTTGCGCGGAAAGGTGTTCCCACGAAATATGTGAACATTCTTCGTGTACTACACTCGAACACTACAGGTCCTGTCAGGGACTACGGTGACCTGTTGAATAGCTTTCGACCACAAGTGGCGTTCGTCAGAGTTGTCCGATTTCATCATTTTTGCGCAATTTTGTCCTAGATTCTATCATGGGGTGTTCCCCTGCGGAATCTCACAATGTAGGCGTTGAGGTGCTGCCTGGTGAAAGGTTAGTTGATCTTGATTATACGGACGACATCATCTTGCTTTTCGACAATGTTGCAGCGGCACAATCAACGCTGAATAGCCTATCCAGAGTGGTCCCATTATTCGGTATGCACTTCGCACCTTCAAAGTGTTGCTGCACGACCACCAGCCACTTGATGACCCCTTGACCCTTGCTAACGAGGAACTCGAGGTGGTTGATCATTTCACTTATCTTGGCAGCTGCATCAGCAACGATGGGCGCATGGAAACTGACGTGAGCTCACGCATTGCAAAGGCCAGAGCTGCCTCCTTGAACTTGCAGCATATATGGCGACAGAAGGGAATTTCCCTCCGTCTGAAAGACCGAGTATACAAAGCCACAGCGAGGACCGTCCTGCTCTATGGGAGTGAGACTTGGCCCCTTCAGTCTGAAGATCTGAGTCGCTTTCAAGTCTTTGATCATCGCTGTGTGCGAAGCATTACTGGAGTCGGATGGCACCAGCGTGTCCGCAACGGATGTGCGGAGGCGAGAACTAGGTAGTGGTAATCATGCTATCTCAATAAAACAACAGATAGCACTGAACAAATTGTGTTGGCTCGGGCACGTGCTACGTATGCCTGGTCACCGCTTACCTAGCAGGGTCTTGTTTAGTCTGCCACGTGTACGGTGGCGCAAGGCTCGAGATGGACAGAAGTTGACTTGGAAGCGGGAGATGAAATCAATGACGCCCAAACTGGGTGCCGTAGGTCCGTCTCCCCGTCAGGACTGGAGTCCACGTGATTCGCCTTATGCTTGGCTCGAGACTTTACAGGACATGGCTCGCAATCGACACCAGTGACACGTCTGCTGCCGTCTCCTAGTCGGATTGCCTGTTTAACGTGTGTTTGGTGCTGAGTTATCTGCGGAGTAATGGCTGATTATGACGCGTGGCAGTGAAAGCCGCAAGGAAGCTGTCTCGCCGATGCCGCCTTATCTTTGCACGATAGCCAGCTGTTTGTGACGGAATGTTGTCTACACAAGGTGTAGGCGCCTTGACCCTGAATGTTTGCTTAGGACATTAAGGTTTTCAGGTAAGTCCCCCTTCTCTCCCTCTTCTTATCCTTTATTTCATAGATCCTCATGGTTGTATGGCAGCGAAGCATCAGTTCAAATGGCTGATGTACTGCTGTTGATGATGATGATCCATCCTACTCGATGTAACAGACAGAGCGCCATTGATAATCCTCCGCGATGACCAGAGCACCAATAAACTATTTGAGGATAGGGTCATGGTATTGCGTACACCGGATAATGCCAGGGTGTCCAGACCTAAACAGGAGAATGATTAAGATACATAACAGAAACCATTGGTTCAAAAACCTGACCGCTAGGCGGCGGAAATTTTGCAGTGGGCTACGGGAAGTCCGGTTTATAGAGTGAAGAACCACACTCATTCCGACTACAAAATTAGAGTTTGTTTGGCCTCTAACCTCTGAAGGTGCAAAAAGTCCCATCAACTATACCTCGATGAACCGTTGAGGCACACAAATCACCGCACTGCGATAAGGCCCAGTCTCATTGCGATGGAATAACAGGTCAAGATTGAGGAAACTGAAAAACATTGACCGACCATTGTACCCAAACAAAAAGTAGTCAAAAACGAAATGGTTGATACTCAACACCATGTGGCTTTAATACAATCTCTGGGTAGTAACTCGTTCCAACCCATGAAGTGCATATGTATAGTGACAGAACTGCGATTGAAGTGTAGATGCGAGGGTGGTGGTCAAGAGACGAGAACACCGGAGGAGGTGGCATCTTTCTTCTCTACTTCACCGGTATCCCGTTCACCGGCTATACGGATCTTGTGCTCCATTTTGTACCGCTGCAATTCTCGGCCCTTCTCTTCAAACTGTTTAGTCAATGTCTCAATGCACTCGGACATCTGAAAAGTAAACGGAGAAGCGAGAACATCTCAAGTACGTATATGAGAAAGTCAGTGGAGCAAATCTGCTTGCGTATGAACCATAATCAGTTCGTTATATTAATGGAACCTACAACGAGCGTGCGTGTGTGTGAGGCTGCATCTTTAATTCCCCTCGTAGACATGCGTACGGAATCGAACACGCAACTAGGCGGTGTCCAAACCATCACCGTGCGGAAACATCCGATCATACCATAGCTGAAAATGTTGTACAGCTGAGTTAGCATGGACGAGGTTGCTCAAGTGGTTCACTGAACTACTCCTTGCTGATGTTAGCTGTCCCAGTTCCGTTAAGATCGATCGAATAACTACCACCGAAGTGTGGTGGATCCAGTTGCAACGAACGCCAAGATAATGGTAAACAGCACATCGGAGGAAGTGATGAGACACAGACTACCAAAAATGTGGGCAAAATAACTCGTGTTGGAATATTAACAGCTAGATGCAAAGGACAGGATACAGGAGCGCCAATGCAACATGTCCGGTGGAGGCTCCAACCACGGATGTGAACCATCCAGAGGCTCTCATCTCCACGAAGGCGGCACGCGCCAGCCTGACCAAGTCCTTCAGTCGATTTATGTTTGCCTTTATGCCACGACATGAAGTGGCCACGTAGAAATTTCGCCCAAATTGGCGTAACCACGGTATACAGTCCAATCTGCTACGGCGAATAGCTAGAAACACCCCCAACGTTTTCTCCCATGAGTAATGTCCCTATGCATGGACATATCTGTGGCGATCACCTGTCTTTGGCGACCACTTTTTGTGGGTCACGTGAGTGGTCGCCTTAGACAGGTTTGACAGTATAATGCACGCCAAGGAAGGCGGTCGACGGACATACAGAGGACAGGACCTAGTCAACGTAGAAGGTTAGACCTAAGCAAACATTCGAGCTAAGAACAAGAATGTATATTGTCAAAAGCAACGAGTGGACCCCGGCATTGCTCACCCGGTGTTCCCAGCACATGTGGGTAATACTCCGCAAGCGCCGATGATCAAACACCACCAACCGTCTATGTTCTCACTGTGAACTGGCCAGGTTTCTGATACATACAGTAACACGGCCTCATCGCAGCGCTATACACACTACCTTCAATGACAAGCTGAGATCACGCCGTCTTCAAAGATGGTTGGGGCTCCGAAAAGCCAGACGTTTTCTTGATACGAAAAGTAATCACCATAGTCATTTGTCCACTGCGGGTGATACAAGTACCAAGTGAAGTGAAGCGATTCGCCACTCCAGTGGTTGTTCGATGATAACCAGAACCGGTGGTGTGTCGGTCAAGTTCTGCAACAACAATTTGAAGGTACAAAACACATGCCGAAGCATGGAGCGTTACTCACCAGTTTAATCAGCAGTGCTTACATAGCCAGTGTCAAATTTGGGGAGAGCTCTATATCGCCCACATACTCACGGTTTGTCTGCCGATCACCTGGTAGAGCTTTTATTCAGGAAGAGTTTGGCCAAACGGAAAGAAAGAAAGGCATCGGCAGTACGCCGGTACGCAGTACCAACGCTTCGCTGGCGCGCAAGCACCAACAGTCGCACAGGAGCTGAGGATACTGCGAGGGTTGCCCAGTCCCTACGTAGGCTCGAACCTGCACCCTGAGATTACAAGTCGAGCTTGTGATCCTTAAGGCTAGGGTACAGCCAAACGGAGCGACATATGAACATTTTGTTCAAAGAATTGAAGAGGAAGGAGGATATGTGACGAGCCGCACTTTCCACGGCGACTCAGGGGACAATTTCCCGTAGATCCTTATGCGGCCTCGGGAGTCACGGTAGAGAGTTTGGAATAAAAAGGAATTTGCTTGGCACGCCTTTCGTGTATAGGCAGTGCTACAAGCTGGCCTGGTCAGTAGAGTAGAAGGGGGCTTTCCAACCAAGGAAAGCCAACCTCATGGTCTCCTCTGTAAGTAGATCTTTGCCCTAACACTTGTTGACAAAGGGTAAGGAGGTGAGCAATACAACCACGATCAGGTTGAACGTCTGCTAAGGCTGGAGTGCCGAACAACCTCCAGGTGTTGCCCGCTAGGTGATTCGGATTTCTCCAATTCCATCAAATGGTTCGGCGGCAGTGTTCCAGGACTTGACAGGTTTTTGCCTATAAAAATCCACGAATGTCCGTTTAAGAACAAAATAAGGTCATTGCTCCTTGCTTCAATATAATGGGGCATTAAATTCCAGCAAATTGATGTTGAAATTGTGGGGAACATAAAGCCTAGGAGTGCAACCCAACAAACGAAAGGCGTATGAACCGAGTAATCAGTCACCGACTCCCAAAGGGCGCGGTTCCCTGAATTCGCCCCACTGCCTTACGGGCAAGCCACCCAGCCAAAGGTTCGGAGTGGTGCCCCCAAGACAACACCCAACTCGGCTTGGGCAAGCGGGTAATATTGTGACTTCTGACGAAACCACAGACTTCTCAGTGTTCTGTTCCGTTTTCCTACTACGACAACCGTATTATATTTTATGTTTTTGATGGCTCCTTCGTGTCTAGTCGTAGACTATTGGATATATATATATATATATATATATATATATATATATATATACCTACAGAAATTATTAGCCTCTCCCAAGGACCGGTACATCTTCGGAGGATGATAGTTGTGAGAAGTTTGGAAAAACAAATGAAATAAAGATGATGTCTCCGTGACTTTTGTAGACATTCCCTTTCAAATATGGACACGTTTCGCAGTGATGTGGAACGTGAGAATGCAGAGGAAAATCGGATCACAATCGGCGTTCAGGTGGTACTCAGGTGGTTAGAAAATCGATGGGAGCGCTTTCCTTACATAGCGTCCCTACCATCAGAGGGGTGGTTCCCTTCTTTCGAGATTGCACGAACAGAGCAGTAAGACTGGTAAAAGGACATCACCAACTGCCTTGATGATAAGAGCAACCAGTCGGACGAAACTGACGGATTCGGTCAGTGGATGCAGTACGCGTGGTTATGTCTATACGACTCCCTGCTTGGTCAGCGTTCGGGTGCGAATTGCTAATCGTTTGTTCAACCGAGTCAAAGCATGGATCTTATCGGTTCATAAACATTACTTTTAATGTAGAGGCCTCATGCTGGGGTTGAAAATTCTTCACCGAAGTTGGGCGACATCGAACTACACTTAAACTGCACCTTCCTAAGCTAGAGAAATAGTATTCCACTTTATTTGGTTTGCTCAGTTCCGTAAACATGCTGCATACTCCGTGTCAATTTTGAGTGTTTATTTTCCTTCCGTCCTTATGTTGGTTGTTTGTTAATCCCAGTATGGCTGCGCTTGATGTGAATGTTGACAAGGTGCCTACCTGTCTAACACCCTCCAGCCCGATTACTGGTTCCAGAACACTGTGAGTCGTTGCTGGGGGGGGGGGACGAGGTACACGGTCCTCGTGGCCGTGCTAGGCTCAAGGAGTGTTTCCATCCAGTGTGAAGCGGACAACGGCCAAGGCACCGACTTGTGTACGTCTGGTACGCATGATCTCTTACATAGATAGGCAGGAATACTGCTGTTGTGCATGTTGAAGGAGTGTGGGCCGGCTCCGTTGATGAAACGTTGCTCCCATCCACATACCTCCTGGTCTTATTCCTTCGGGTTTACACTGGGCATGCGGTGTGTGGATGGAGGTGTGGGTGGTGCGGCGCCATCCACCAATGGTCGCTCTGCAGGTGCAGGCGTCCTGTGGCTGGGCCCGTGGAGGTCATCGTAAGAGGTAAATCCGGAACCGGATTCGGGAAAAACGGACAACAATGTAAGAATTAAAGGAATAAATGCATTAGCTTCACTGACTTAGTGACTGTACCACGCCGGGTAAGGTGTCTGACTACGGTTGTAATTAATCCTGGGGACAGGCACACATCTGCGGTAGAGGTTGCATTGATCACAGGTGTTTAGAACGTATCACATATACACAGCGTTCAGGGCAGTGGACTTCCTCGTCTCGAATGCCTCCGATTCGGTTGATCGCACCTATTTGTGGTGTTATCTCATTGAGAACTGGACCAGTTAATTTTCTCCCATCACAAAATCTCTGTACCAGGGATCCCGTTTCCATGTACAGTTATGCGGGGAGCTATTAATTGAGTGCACTAACACAAATCGAGTGTGCTACACCGTTGCTGTATCCTCTATTTTCGTTTCGGCTTTGTGTGATCACCAACGGCGAATGAGTTTGAACCACCACCGGTACCGGTTGTTGTGGTCCATGCCAGGTGACCGACGGGCACGCGGTAAGTATACAGACAATATATCGCTCGTCGTATCAGACCCGTTAGATTGCAAAGTGCTGTTGATTAGAGTAAAGCACAGTGCTGTTGCCCCGGTACACGTACCGCAACCTAAGAGTGAAGTGCGTTGCTGCAGTATTGAACCAACCTGCCGCATGTTCACACTCTATTATTGAACAAGAACTGGGAGTACATAAATGGTTTACCTGTAAGGTGAAATTCTGACCGTAAAAGCCCTGAGGTAAATGCATACGTCTAAAAGGTTCCGTGGCATTACGAAGCCACAACCGTTGACGTCGAGATTTCAAGGATGGCAGGGAGAGGAGACATTATCACAAATGGTCTAAACTAATGCCCAAATATGAAACCACAGAATCGGAATGATACGACCTCAAGAACTCACAGAATATGACAAAGATGGTGCCTCGTATCATTGGGGATCAGAATTCAAACGGTAAAAAGAACTAAAATCCTGCTACTCGCAAGTAATATAAAAATAAATAGCCTCTCCTAGTTTCCAATGCTATAGATATAGCGTCTAGCGGGATAACATCATCACCTCCCAGGCTAGCCACTGTCAGTGACAGTGGAAGATAGGTGGTGCTATATTACAGTTAGCTTGCAAATTATGTATCCCAGTCAACGTCAACCATGGCTCAGTAGCTTAAGTTGCTAGCTAGTTGGCATCTGCCTCTAGCGGTCATGGGTTCGATCCACAGTAGAGGGCCGAGGGAATGCGCACCATGAACGAGCCCCAATAGGGCGAAACGCGTCTGGTGCTTCTCCGGACTAGGCTGCGCTATGTAGCCTGTAAACTACTGGGATGAAGCCTTAAGAAAATTACAAGTAAAATGCTGCTAATCGCGAGTAATGTAAAAAAGTAGTGTCAGTCATCGTAAACAATAGAAAAGCGACAATGTTAGGTTACAAATTTCGTAGAAAAATCATTCTGGGCCGAGAATGAAGAGAATAAAACGTCAACAGCAGAATACGCTCACGAGAATCCGCTCAAAAGTAAACTGAAAATCAGCAGTGGAATGCATTGAATAAATATTATGACGCTTGAGCGGTTCCAAATTTGGGTACATTTACTGATCCACTCTCATGTTTGAACATCTGTTTCTACTGGTTCCCCACTCCTTCTGCCTTACGAATCATATTCGCTCTTCTTCGCAGTAAAAAGCCACGGATATCCCCCTACTTTTAAAATCTTACTTCCTTACAGTATAGTTTAGTCCATATTGTTCACCTCGTTAGAAACCCTATTTTAACCTGCAATTCGGTGTCTCCAAAGAAATATGTGGTGCAATTTGTGAGGCCGAAAGGTATGAGGTGTGATATGCAAGGAAATACAAAAACTCTAAAAGCTTTAATAATGAATACGACATATATCTGCGATCACAAAAGCAAAACATTTCTGCTTTCCTCTACTTACTGGCAGATTCCGAAGGGTCAATATGGATTAACCCTTTAATTACCCCCGGTTCCTATTAGGGGATCATGTAATGCAAACCGTCTGTCAACACCATCAGCTGTCTCTCTTAAAGTAAACATGTGGTCGATGCAACGATGACCAGGGCGGAAGTCAGTCTGGCTTTCAGTGATTTGGCTCTCATGCGGACCGGGATGTCGTCGAAGAATAGGAGTAGGACTTGGCCCATTCGATCTGATGTTCTGAGGCGCCTTCAAGTCTTTGATCATCGTTGTCTTCGGAGCATTGCTGGTGTCGGATGGCACCAGCGTGTCCGAAAGGAAGATGTGCGTAAGCAAGCACAAGGCAGTGATAAGCAAGCTAGTTCCTTAGAATAACAGATAGCAGCGAATAGGCTGCGTTGGCTTAGGCACTTATCACGTACGCCTGGTCACCGCTTACCTAGGCCCTAGTTTAGTCCGCCAGATACAGGGTGGCGGAAGGCTCGACATGGACAGAAGTTGACTTGACAGCGAGAAATAAAGTCACTGACGACCAAACTGTGTGCTATCGATCCGTCTCCCTTCTAGGCTGGAGTCCACATGACTCGCTTTTGCTTGACTCGAGACTTTACAAGACATAGCTTGCAGCCGACACCAGTGGCGTCTGCTGCCGTCTCCTAGTTGGACTGCCTGTTGCTGAGTTATCTGCGGGGTAACGGCTGATTATGATGCGGGGCAGTGGAAACCGTAAGAAAGCTGTCTCGCTGATGCCGCCTTGCCTTTGCACGATAGCCAGCTATATGTTGTTAACACAAGGTGTAGGCGCCTTGACCGTGAATGTGTGGTTAGGATATTAAGGTTCAGGTATGTCGCCCATTCTCTCTCTTATTATTTCATAGATCATCATGGTTGTCTGGCAGCGAGGCATCAGTTCAAGTGGCTGATGTACTGCTGTTGTTCACTGATTGGTTGATCAAGATGATATCCGTCAAATGTTTGGAGGCAATGGTAATAAGACTAATGTCTCGATGATTTTCACACAAAGCCCGTTGATCTTAGTTTGGATATAGCACGAAAGTTGACAGTCTGAAGGTACCTCTTCAGCGTTCATAGCTCAATGGCGTGGTATCCAATGAGTTGGATGCAAAATATAGCACTTGATTCAAACTACTTAGTTTTACTATTAAGCAGATGTTAAAAAGTTTTGCAGTTAGTGGCGCAAATCAAGGTTACTACAAGTTAGGTATGTGTGAAAGTCTTGTAATAGTTCAAACTTCATATAAATCTGTTAATGCAACTTCGCATCCAAGTAAAGCTTTGCTCTAAGACCTTAGTGACTGATTACACTGCTATATTTCTATACTTCCTGATAATTTGGAACCATATTCTCGACACGCTTAACCCTCTGCCGGTTTCGGGATACTGAGTTTATTGAATCGAATAGGACATCGACATTTCTGATGAAGTCAGCCACTGTTGGAAGTAAGTGTTGTACTGAGTTTGAGAAATCGAAAAAGGATGCGTTGTTGCAAGACAGACTCAAACTATTGAGAAGCAAAATCAATTACACCTATCTAACCATTACGCGACACATAGGATATGCTTTTAGAGGTAAACTTTGCATTTCATACTCCGAAAATTGTCGTAAAGCATTTGCTCACTACGATATTAACGCACAAAAATTGTAAATAACGTGGTCAACACCCTCTGCAGCTGGTGGTATCTCATGTTGTAGAAAAGTAAATAATGCCCATTTCAATATCACAAAGTGGATGACGAAGAAGAAACTGTCTCACAAGGCCTAAGTTATGGTGTCAGTGCTATAGCTGAACTATGTACCGAAATTTTGCTGTCAAGTAACCCCAAACTGAGAGACCCCCTGGAGTGCCTAATAATTTCATGCGACAGGGACAAGACAAATCCGAAGCGCACATATTGACAACCGGACGCTTGGACCAATGTACAACAGATGTCTGAAATACAACCCAACAGGACGTACTTTTTGTATGTTCAATTCAAGAGCGGGGAGAATGTCCTTCACTTGCCGTTCGATCAACACATTGTCAATCATCCGCATGCATTTTCGATTGGGATCAACATCACGTAGGACCTTGACCACCATACTAGAAATGAAAAGTGAAGATCCAGAGGGGACAACAAATACACTAAACAAGAGATGAGCAGAGGAGCAAAGAGAAACGCGGATTCATCCCAGATAGTATGTCAGTGATAGTCACCCAACGACATCCTTGCATGAAGGCATTAGTAGTACGCCGATACGTAGCACCAACCCTTTGCTGCCGCGTAACCACCATCAGTCGCACGTGGGCCAAATATACTGCGAAGGTCATCTGGTCCCCTATGCAGGCTCGAATCCGCGCCCTCGGATTACAAGCCAGGCATTGTGATTCCTAATGGTATAGGCCGGCACGCTTCAGCATGCTAGACCCGGTGAGAGGGTTGGCCTCTGATGATCGTGAATATGAGCGACAGAAAATGTAATAGACATACGGCTTACACATGCAACTGATAACTAAAGGATAACCGGTAGTTGACAATTTTATAAGAAAACAATAGGAGGCCCGGTTAATCACCACAAAATCGGCTGGCTACTTGGATCTATCAGGATTATACCAATTTCTGGACCGAGTAACGGTGAATTACTTCCTACCGAAATTCATGTCAGAGCCGCACTTTTATTTTACTTGACCTCTTTGACAAACGCCCGGAGGAGCAGTGGACTCTCTGAAAACCCTATGTACCACGTCCAAATTTCGACATGCATTTGGGCCTTCAAAATGCAACCACCTTTGTCAGGGTCATTAGCGGCTGTTTGCTTTCCGTGTCTGGACGAATGGGGAGTGATGATAGGCGATCAACCAAGAGCGGAAAGTTGGATTTGCAACGTACATTTTGCTGATAGAATAATCTCATTTGTCGCAAACCCATCATTGCTTCATAGCCCGTTGATAACTCTTTCACCAAAAGTGGATTTGTATGGGACTTTATTGCCGTGTATAGAGAATTACCGAGAGACCATCTCTTTTCGGGAGTAAACAAGTTAATGTCACCTAACCTGAGCAGTGGTCCGTGGGTAACGATGGTCAAAGGTGTCTAATTCCTTCAGATCGAATGAATCAGTAATAACTGCTGAGCAAGTGACCAGTTCCAGAATGGTTCGTGTACATGGTTTTTAGGGTTAAGCTGAAGGGTACACAATTCAGATCCCAAACCAGCACCACAGTATGTGTGCTTCTTCGTTCAGCGAGTTAGCGCTACGGTTTGTGGGGGACATATGCAAATTTTGTCCTCGCGCGACTTCGAAGCTTTAGACAAGCCAACCAATCTGACGGCGCACATCTGGTTGTTAACTAGGACCCAGTCCACCAAGAAAGCTTCAGCCCGAGGACAGAGCAATGTCTACACCGGTTTGACCAATATTTGAAGCCGAGTTACCTCTAGACAAACGCAATGAGAAAGTGCCATCAGTGTCACAGGAAGGCGGTCGTAGGTTGAGCACAGAGTGCGTCTTGCAGGCGGGTTTCTCGTAAGCAACCGATATTGATCGATAGGGTTTCGTGTTCGTGCAAATGCTGCTTATTGACCGAGCTGTAACAGAGTGCGCACATTGAAGCATGCTAATGGTAGAGATCGATGGTTCCAAATAGAGGCGTTTCGCTGCCGCGGGACCACCACCAGTCGCGCGTGGGCTGAGTATACCGCGAGGACGCCCGCCCCTACGAGGATTCGAACCGGTGACCTTAGGATTGCAAGCCAGGCATGCAGACCACTCAGTCACCGGCCGGCGGATGTGCTGTTTCCCGCCTTGTTGGATACGGATATGTCGACAGAGTATGGGTGATGCCCTGCGACTGCGTGAATTAACACTAGTATACAAGCGCCTATAAACCGAGATGAGGGAAAGGGCTAAGAATTAGGAGTTAATGGGGATAGAGGTGAAAATGGAACCGAAAAATAAAGAAAATAGTAAGGAGAATAAGAAAATGGAAAGGCTTGAGCATCAGTATTTTACCCTTGTCTACCCGCTCGATTCAGCAGATAGGGCGCCGTTGATTATTCTTTGCGAAGGCCAGAGCATCAACGAATTGTCCGAGGAAAAGTTCATTTCATTGCGTGGGCAGGATGCTGTTAATTGTCGAGGCCTAGACTGAAGAACGATCGGGATTCTCAAGCAAAGCCTTTGATTTAAAAAATTAACCGCAAGACAGTGCGAGACTGGCACGGGGCTACAGAGAACCGTTTCAAGATCCAAGGAGAAACGCTCATTCCAAGCCTCAACCTGGAGGACCAGGAGACTGAGTTTGTCTAGAATCTAACTATTGCCCGACCTCGTATGAGTGGCTGAAGGTGCAATAAGCACAATGTAGCCCAACTCAATGGATTGTTAAGACACGCAAAGCATTGCACCATGATAAGGCCAAGCCTCAATGTGATGGCTATCCTACGATAGTCGGTGACCGAAAGAATGAAGCGTCTGCCTTGTAATCCGGAGGTCACCGGTTCGAGCCTGCGTAGGGGACCAGGTGACTCTCGCAGCATTCTTAGCTTACGTGCGAATGGTGATGGCTGCGTGCCAGCAAAGCGTCTGTACGGCGTACCGGCGTACTGCTGATGTCTCCTCTTCTTTTTGCCATACGGTACAAACATTAAATGCAAAGCAGAGAAACCGGACAGGGGATTTTGGTGACAGAAAAATATTAGACGCTACAATGACAGAAGCGCAAGTGAGTTCTTTGCTGCCATTTACTTTTGGGACTGAAGGAAAGTTAATAATGGAGATAAAAAGGACTGGTAAAGATGCAAGTGGAAAAAGGCGTCAGAAGTAACATAGTCGCGTTTTTTAGTTCCGTCGTAAACATAAGATGAGACGACACCATCGCTACGTGACAACCAGTGTTTGAAAAGACTGTCTGTACCGCAGTCGGAAGGTGGCCGAAAGGATTGCACGCCTGGCTCGTAACCCCTAGGTCACCGGTTCGAATCCGCGTAGGGGCAGGCGTCCTCATGGTATACTCAGTCCACGCGCGACCGGTGGTGGTCGCGTGGCAGCGAAGCGTCGGTACAGTGTGCCGGCGTACTGCTGGTGACCTTTTAATAATGCTGTCAATTACAAAATGAACATTTCATATACAGCTAAGGCCCCGTTGAGATGCGTGTACAATTTTGGTAGAATAAAGTGAAGTAACTTCGCTATCTTAGTGACTACCACTGACTAGACCGATTTCTCCCTGTCTTCTAACTCGAAATGTTTTTCCGGCGTTTTACGAGAACATGAATAAATGCACCGAAACACAGTCGCCTGCTCTGACTTACACTCAAAATAAAATGCAGCTCCAAGAAAAACAGTATACACCTATTCTCAACGTATATTTTTGTACCAAGCTTGATGATGAACAAATCGAAAACAAATGTTCGCTATAAGCGCACCGCTTGCGTTTCTTCTTCCAATATACAAGCCAATTTACTCGGCCCCCACTTTTCTTGATCATCACGCTGCAATCAGGTACGGTAGACCTTATCTGTTTGTAGATGACATAAAAATTTGTATGCCGCAGTCTAAACATCTGCCTATTATATCTTATATCCAAAGTGACCTGGTTTCACTAGAAGAATGGTGCATCGGATCTCGAATGAAATTTTTTGACATCTAACTACAACATCAAGTGCTATGAACGCATGGTTCCACCGGCATGCTTGTGCTAGCATGAACTTCAAATCCTGTTAGCTAACGCGATATGTGAGTTTCCTCTCCGTTACTCAGGTTCGTTGAATTTCAAAGTAGTTGAGTATACGGTAGATAAAACACGACAGACTATTGGAATGATAAGCCGTTTGCTTATAAGAAAGTTAAGCTCCTGTCATTTAAACTATACGCCAAACAATTATTAGAATACTGTACCACCACTTTTGGTAGCAGGCTCAGGTGATTCGACAAGCGGCAGTGTCGCAGCAAGCCTGTCGAAATGCTCCTCAAAATGTTCCGTCCAACGGACTAGTTGACGACGGTGAGAATGGACCAACGGCCCATCCTTCTCAGGTATTGTCTCGCCAACTGGAACAACATAGCCGAAATCCATCTCACGGGCTTTTGAAACCCACCAACGTTCCCAGTCAACTCGAATACTCCTTGTCAGACTTCATTTCAGGGAGTTACGCATACGCTGTAACTCAGTGCCGATCGGAACCCGGTTACAGGCTTCGATCAAGCTGATGGATGCGTCAGGCATCCCAAGGCATTTACGACGTCACAAGTTGGGTGCAGAGCAGGCATCAAACACATTCTTCATGGCACACTTGAGACGATCCCAGTCCGTGTTCGGCTCACCAACTTCATTCATCACTGACAATTGGCAGGAAAGTTCGTTATGATATTGTTGAACTCATCACCATCATTATTATACACGCTAGCTAGAGGTAGGAAACACTACAGCTACTGTGCCGCAACCCATAAAAGAAATAAAAGAAAAGAAAGAAGAAAAGGAGAAAAAAGCATGTAACAGATACATGGCAACCGAACTACCGGTAAGGGATGGGTATCATTCCAGAAAGCTACCAGCCGGTTACTATGCAGAAAAACATTTTGTAATACAAAATTATATTATGTTAATAAATGAGATCGTAATTGGAGTAGGAGGCTAATATGGATGCGGACGGACAAAGCAAATCACAAGACAAATGTCATTGAGGTATGTGTATCCAGTAAAACGTGTTCATCGTCTTTCTGACCCCAACGAGGGAGCCGAGATGCTCCAACCGAAGCTAGTTTCGAACAGAGGGTCTTCATTCCTTCCGAGCAAGTCATCGCTTGATCACAGTTCCTCTTCTTCTATTCACAGCTCCTGTGCGCAAACAACGCGTCGCAGGAGCCGGTGGGCTGGCATGCGAAACATGTGGCCCTGCCATCGGAGTCTAATGCGTGAAATAAGGATGCGGAGCGGTTCATTTTCTCTTCCTGTGCAATAAACAAGGCGTCGAGCACGCTCGTTGCTCACGCGGTGTTCCCACCAGATGAGAGCCAAACTGTGAACGCACCGGTGGTCGAAAGGAACTAGCCTCTTTATGTCAGCTGATCTAGAAAGCCAAGTTCACAACCGTACAGTA